ACCAATGGTGGGCAGATATCTTGCTGCAGGGCTGGAGGTCAGGGCTGGTTGCTCCTCTCCCTCCCCAGAAATGAGGAAACATCAGGTAAAGCCAAACCCAGGTATAATTGTTTAGGGAAAGAGGAGGTCAAGGGTGGGGGCTGTGGGGTGACTGTGCATAGCCCTATTGGCGCTGTGGAAAAGGTTTAGGCAGGGGGGTTCCAGTATAACCTGTGGCTGTTCATTATTTAACTCTGGAAACAAATACAGTTCGGGGAGGCGGAGGCAGGAGGATCACTTGAGCCCACAGTTTCAAGAGCAGCTTGGGGAGACCCTGTCTAAAAATAAATAATTGGTGCCACCGACCACCTCCAGCCCTGGGTGATATGAGTGGAGACCATGTCCTTCAAATACAGACAGACCAGACAGAAAAGATATTCTGTTTTTTTAAAAAAAAGGAACCTATTATGTGCCAGACTTCTTGCTGTGTTGATGATGATAGAAAAAATAGGCAGCCTATTATGTGGCCAGACCCTGCCTGTGATTGAAAGAAAGAAAAAAAAGAAGAAAAATTGAGGCATCTATTATTGCCAGGCCCCTTGGGCTGTGATAAGATAGATAAAGATAGATAGATAAGATAGATAGATAGATAGAAGATAAAATTAGCCATCTAATTATGTGCCAGGCATTGCTGGTGGATAGATAGATAGATAGATAGATAGATAGATAGATAGATAGATAGATAGATAGATTAAAATTGGCATCCTATTATGTGCCAGGCCCTTGCTGTGATAGATAGATAGATAGATAAGATAGACAGGACAGATAGATAGACAGATAGATAAAAATTAGCAACCTATTAAGTGCCAGGCCCTTGCGCTGCGATTGAATGATAAAATTCAAAATTAGCACCTATTAGAGTGCCAGGCCTTGCTTGTGATTGATTGATAGGATAAAAATTAACACCAATTAGGTGGGCCAGGTGCCCTTGTTCTAATGAATAGAAAGATTATTTTCTGGAACTTGAATCCAAAAGTGTGTGAGAGGAATGTAAAGCTTGGTCATGGGGCTTAATGTAGAATTAAAATAAGGAGTCTTTAGGCAAGTATCTATTATTATATGGTATTATAGCCGATCACATTAATTATTTTTGAGAACACCGCAAAAGGCTCCATTGGCTTGATGATATACATGTTAGGTATGAATATATCGAATTGAAGTGAGGTAAATTATAGCATATAAAATGTAAGGAGATCAATTTTCCAGGAATGAAGGATGTAAGGCATTACAGTGAGTATCATTATAGTAGAGAAGAGAGGATGTAGGAGATCGTATTGAGCTCTTACTGACCTATACTGCATATATCCTCAGAATATACTTATGACACGACACACTCACACACAACAGAGGCTCACACAAACGGCGGTTAGGAGCAACCCAAATATATTACCCGCGGGAGCCAAATCACATCTACGTAGATTCTAAACGGTCAGGGGAAGGTTGGGGAGAGACACAGGGGAACCTGCAAGGCAAATCGTGTTACCAAACGATAACTTTAGGCCAGAGGAGCCCCCCACTGTTTAGGGCAATGAAAGACATATCCAAGACAAAATAAATAACCCGTTCTAATTATCAAATTACACTTAAGGTTATAAATACTAGATGAGCTGTGGTGTGGTGGGAGGGGCGCGTGGCGGGTTGGCTCAACCCTGTAACCCACCACATTTGGGAGACCAAGGCGAGTGAAATGCTGAGCTCAGGAGATTGAGACCAGCCAGGGCCAACATGGTGAAGCGCCATCTGTAATTCGCAATCGTCTCTACTAAAAATACTACTCAGTGAAAAAATTGGAGCTGCGGCAACAGGAGAATCGCTTGGGAACCCGGAGGCCGGTGGGTCAGGCGGATGCCTGTGCCCCTGTAGTCTCAGCCGAGGGATTTTGCATGCCTGGGTGGGTTATCCAGGCCGCGGCAGGACGTGGAGCGCGCGTATGACTCCGGAAGGTGGAGGTTGCAGTGAGCCACAGAGTCTTCATGCGAACTGACACATACAACAAACACAGATGTAGCAAGCCTAGTGACGTGGCAGCAAAGCGGCACGACTCTCGGCTGTTGCGATGTTGGCAGGCACAGAGGGAACTCTGTCAGTAACTACAGATGTACTGGAACTCATCAATACAGAATACTTGCTTATCCCAGTACACGAGGACTGATCAAGAACACCAGATCTTAAGAGAAAAGCGTCCACCAGATGACATCTTACTTAACGAGTAATCTGGCAATGTATACAAAGAGCGGGTAACCTTAAGATCGCGGCACTAGATCGGCAGAGGCCCAGCGCAGGAAAGAGCTGCCTAGGCCCCCACTCTTGGGCTCATGACGATCACCCTAGGCGATTTCGCAGGCGATTCGAGGCTGATATGGTTGGAGCGGTGAGGCCTTCTTTCGATAGGAGGATAGATTCATAGGTTCGATCATGCCTCCAACTAATCGTGCCCCGGGTCCTTCTAAAGTTTGTTCTCATTTTCTGTAATAGGCTTATGACAGATATAGCAGATCTTAATCAATGTATTTCACTTAAAATGGGAGGGACTATTTTGTCCGGCCCTATAAGTGTGGTTCAGTAGGGAGGCATCGTAGTCACCCCAGATCAGCGATTCGGTATAACTTCAGGTATCAATTAAGACAGAGAGGAGGCTCAGCAATAAACCGAGATACTTTACCTAACGATACGAGTCGGACGACTTACAAGATCAGGCTTGACGCCATGTTTCCTGCCCTGAGCATCTAACTTCTTTCCACCCGCGGCCATCAGCATCTTATGTTCTCGCGCTAAATAAAGTAGCGGCATATTTAAAACCGCGCAGACTGGCGAAAGTATAGTCAATTCTCGCACACTTTGCACAGGGGGACGGCTAAACTACCAGCAGAGTGGCTCCCGACAGTCCTAGGCTGGTCAGCCCTACACTTCCTGCTCACCAGAGTGGCGGAATCGGCACCAAGCCCACCAAGGGGAGCTAGGTGTTCATTAAGGAGTCTTCGGCTTAATGCCAATGAATGCCTAGCCAGCAGAAAAAGGAAAAATACGCCTCAATTTAAAAACTAAATGTAGGCTAATGGAAAGACGCGTCATTGAGACCACAACTCAGTAGTGTCTCCGCGGTCAACTCGGGCCGGTGTCGCCGCCGAGACCAAGATGGCTGCAGGAGCTAAAGATGCAGAGTTGCCTTGGGTGGACGCACAGGCCACCATGGTCCTGGTGCTGATCCTCCAGCTGCTGACCCTCTGTGAGCCGCCCCTTCCTTCTCCCTGGGTTCTGGGATGGGGTGGGGGGCAGAAAGAGAGAGAGAATGGAGACCCAGACACCCTGCAGGGGGACCACGCAGCACTAGCTGGAGCTTTGGGATTCTAGGTTCAAATAAAGAACAGGACTAGGGCCCAGACCCCTGAGTCCTAAAGCAAGGGAACACAGATTCCCGAAAGAGGAAGGAGGCGGGGACAGGTATCTCTGGATCTTGAGGCAGGAAGAGGATAGGGGACAGGGAGGACTCCTAGATTCTCATGTGGGAGGGGGATGGAAGCCAGGACTCCTGATTCCCTGGGAAAAGGGGGCTGGGAACAGGGCTCTTAGCTCCTGAGAGAAGAGGGAAATGGGGACCCAGATTCCTGAATCCAGGAGAGGAGAAGCTCTCCGATTACTGTCCCCTGGAAAGGTGGAGTTCAAGGGCCTGAACTCTTGGGTGCCCAGGCCAGAGGGGTCCGCGTTCAGACTTCTTCAGTAGGTGGGCAATGGAAGTCCGAATTTCTGTCTACGGAGACAGGAGGAGGGAGGGATAAGATTCTCATTTCCCAGAGGAGAGAGGAGCTGGGGACTCAGATTCTGGGGCTACCAGTGAGATGGGGCTGGCCACAAAGGGCTTTTGAAAGGAACTCGCTGTTGGCACAGTGGCTCACGCCTGTAATCCCAGCCACTGGGAGGCTGGGCGGGCGGATCACCCTGAGGACAGGAGTTCAAACCAGCCTGACCGACATGGCGAAACCCTGTCTCTACTAAAAATACAAAAATTAGCCTGGTGTGGTGGCGGGCACCTGTAGTCCCAGCTACTAGGGAGCTGAGGCAGAAGAACGCTTGAACCTGGGAGGCAGAGGTTGCAGTGAGCTGGGATCACACACTACACTCCAGCCTGGGCGACAGAGCGAAGACTCTGTCTCAGACAAAAAAAAAAAAAAAAAGGAACTAGTCCCTCAACCTTCTACAGGGCCTCTGTGTCACACGGACATTACTCCATCTGGTGAAGTAGCTGCTTCATCCACTCTCCTTTATGTCGCTGACACCCCTTTTCCAACTACTCAGATTTTATTTTGGTGCCCAATCCCATCCCAGAAGTCCTTATTTTCCTCCCTCCCTCCCTCTCTCCATTCCTTCCTTCCTTCTTTTCTCATTCCCCTTAGTGGTCATTATAAGTGAGTACTGAAGAGCAGGAACTTCTGAGGCAGAGGCCTCAGTTTCACCATCGTATTCATTTATACGACTTTGAACAAGCCACAGCTTGCTAAGACTCCATTTCCTTCTCTGTAAAATGGGCCGCTGTGAAATTTCATCAAATCACA